TACAAAATATTTACACCCATCTCCAGTAGATACCAGTAATTCTTTCAAAACTGATCTTTTATAACTACTCAAGCGTGACGTGTAAAGAAATAAAACCCCGTGTCTGGTATATAACTCAGGTGACTTCTTGTTCAGGTCACATATCACTTCCTTACACAACTGGTGTGTGCACTGTTTGGGATTCAATTTCAACTCGTACGACTTAATTAGGTAATTAATTAGGCATTTGTTGATTTTATATTTTGATCGGTAATTATTTTAACTTTAAATTATTGGTTAATAGGTTAGCCGCACTATTTTAAGTAGTTGAGCTAAAGCAAAAATTTCTCTGAAAGAAATTGACAGTAAAACAATCGATCACATACAATGATGGCCGGAATTAGAATTGATTAACCTTTTATGTTTTGATAATCGGTACTTTGTTTAATCTAATTTCTTTTTATATTTACATAAAAGGATAATTTAAATGTTTTAACAAAAGACGATGATATTAAATGTATCGGTATTTAGACAAAACAATTCACGACGATTCGAAGTCGATACTCGTAAAATATCGATATAGAAATTAATGTTTTTTCCCGCCATTTGTAGGATGTGCAAAATTTACATAAATAGAAAACAATTTTATTTTGATTAACGTTCTCATTAAATAAAACATACGTTCAAGAATATATATCCGTAGTAATAATTTGTGAAAATCGATTATATAGTCTAAGTTTATTTTTAATACTCGCCATGCGCAGTGTTTCTTCCAGACTTTTTTCTCCGGGGGTGCACCTGAAATTTTCGGGGGGGGGGGGGCGGTAGACTTTCTTCGGGTGGGGGGGGGGCGGACACTGTTAAAAGTATATATTTTCTACATAAATTATATAAATTTCATTTCGTTCGGGGGGGGGGGGGGGCGGGAAATATCAGGACAATAATTTTTACGAATTAGTAAAATTGGCTTAATTATACTTTTTTAAAAGTATTAATAGCGTATGCTTTATACTCACAAATGCACTTTTAGTTTATAATTCCGGTATCTTATTTGGATTTTTAAAAATTCAGAATGAGTTGTTTGATTTCCACATAAATTATCTAGATCTAAATTTTTTATTAAAATTATAAAAATGCCATGATTATAATTCAGCAGAACTATTGTACTTTATGCTCCCACATTTCAATGTAAACTTTATAGGGTGTAAAATAAATTGGAGAAACATCTAAAGCATTTGCTAGACATACTAACATGATACATCACAGGGAGCGGACAGCAGACAGCATGGACATGACAAAATTAGCCTGCAGGCAGACCAGTGACCGCGGTAGTTAGTACCGTGCTAGGGGGGGGGGGGTTAATTTTCTAGTTCCCAATCATCGGCCCACTGTCACATGGAAACTTGTAAGCGACTGGACAGATTTAAACACAGACCAGTCAGAGATTCGTTGGTCGGGCCAGTCAGAGATTCGTTGCTCGTTCTAGTAAAACGTAATGTTGCTAAACCGAAGAAACCTGAATTTAAACATCCGTGCGCGTATGGCTCTATGTAGTCTGTCGCTTGACCTACTTCTGTTTACCGTCGTCATGGTAATAATGGCTGCCGAAAACAAAACGACGATTCCGTGATTTCGTTTTTTAACATTGCTTTATTGTTTTTTCAGAAATATAATCTTTTAAGCGTTATTTTTTGAGTATTATTCAACGATACAAGTCTAGTTTTAACGATGTGCGATTAGTGTTTGAGGCAAACTAGCCATTTGTACATTTGTTTGGTATAATCACAGAGAAAATCTAGCAGAATTATATAAAGTAAGCAAAATTATAATTACTGTATTTAATAATGTTGTAAAATATTCAAAATACTCTGAACTATAGAAAACTATTTAATACGTCACACTAAACTATTTTCATTAATTAAAAAACAAAACAAAATAATGCAGCATAAAAACAAAACCCTCAAAAAATAACATTATAAAGATAACAGCTAACAAAGCCCGCCAATTTTGCCCGCAGTGTATTTGAGTGAGAAGAAATCTAACAGACTACACATTTCTGCTGAATGGTAAATTGCGTTACAACAACACTCCTTTAAAATTTACCGTCATATTTATGTCGCCATTTAAAAACAAAATTCATTTTTTCACAAATTATTTGCTAAGCTACCGATTAATTTTGAAAATTAAAACTGGTAACAAATTAAAGATAAATTAATGTAGTTTTTAGTAATTTAAGTCATCTTGAACAATACAATTTTTTAGCGCAATTCCCATTCTAGAGAATTGCGATTATTAACTCGTCATTTCTGGGAATGGATGGATGGATGTATGGATGGATGGATGTATGGATGGATGGATGGATGGATGGATGGATGGATGGATGGATGGATGGATGGATGGATGGATGGATGGATGGATGGATGGATGGATGGATGGATGGATGGATGGATGGATGGATGGATGGATGGATGGATGGATGGATGGATGGATGGATGGATGGATGGATGGATGGATGGATGGATGGATGGATGGATGGATGGATGGATGGATGGATGGATGGATGGATGGATGGATGGATGGATGGATGGATGGATGGATGGATGGATGGATGGATGGATGGATGGATGGATGGATGGATGGATGGATGGATGGATGGATGGATGGATGGATGGATGGATGGATGGAAGGATGTCCGCAGCTTTAAGTCGTATCTCATCCTCAACGAAACAATATCGAGGACTAGTTCCAAAAGCAAATATGTTAAGCAAGTTCCAGGGATGATTGTGGTCCAAAAAAAATCCCGAAATTTCTTCCTGGATTTCCCGGAAAAGCCAAAAAACCTCGAACAAATGCAGTTTATGCTCCATATCTCGGCAACCAGACCACTTAGCGACTTGAAACATTATTTACCAATCGATTCCTGCCATAATTTAGACCAATATTGCCGAAGAAAGTTTTCAAAAATATCCTTTTGTTCGGTCACAAAAAATTAATTAAGAACATTTAAACTGAGCATCGTGTAGGTTCTTAGCGCAAAGCTGAGGTTCGAAAGGATTTTACCATAGCGAATGAGCGGAGGTTAGAAAGGATTTTTTAAAATTTAAACTGAGCATCGTGTAGGTTTTTAGCGCAAAGCGCTGAGGTTCGAAAGGATTTTACCATAACGAATGAGCGGAGGTTAGAAAGGATTTTTAAAAATTTAAACTGAGCATCGTGTAGGTTTTTAGCGCAAAGCGCTGAGGTTCGAAAGGATTTTACCATAGCGAATGAGCAAAGGTTCGAAAGGATTTTTACGTAGATCTGTGATTTCTAAAAAATTAATTACGGAAATTGCGCTTAAATTGTCACTAGACTTTTTATTAACTTGTTTAAACCTAGTCCTTCTTGCTGGTGGCAGTAAACGATCTAGAGGAGACATATCAAACAATTAGGTCCCCTACTGCCTTGCAATATTTTTGGATGGGCAAACAAAGGTTATGAAAGCAAATCCCTCCCCCCCACCCCCCCCCCCCCCCCCCCCCCCGAAAATTTCAAGTGTTTCCCTCGGAGAAAAAAAGTGTGGAAAAAACACTGTTTATAAATAATATGGGTTCTTTTTTTGTACCACAGAACCAGAGTTTCTTCCGAATAAAGTCAAACCCCTCCCCCGAACGACCCCGAAAATGTTGACCTCTGCCCCCCCCCCCCCCCCACCCGAAAATATCAAGTGCCCCCCCCCCCCTAAAAAAATCTAATTCTAGGTCTAGTTCTAATTTTAGTTTTGCTGCTCTATAGTTTAACTGCTATCATAGCTTATGATTGTGTTTAGGTGTGTAAGCCTACCAATGCAATCATAAAAATCATTGCATTTTACAATTTTATCTAGATCTAGATTCTGGAATTTCTAGATCTAGATCTAGAATTTAGATCTAGGTCTAAAAATACTTTAACTAGATCTAGATCTATAACTTTAGAGTTAAGACTCTTATGTTAAGAGTCTAGAATAGTCTAGATCTAGATCTAATTTCCATCATGTTTTTGTTAAAACATGGATAATCACCATCATGAAGATTGATTTGGCTTTGGCTCTAGAATCTAATTAAATATAGATCTAGATCTAGACTAACATAAATATAGTAGGCCTATTGTATATAGGATCTAGATCTTGATTAAATTTCTAACTTTAAAGCACTTTAGCTTTACTTTAAATATAGGCCTAATGATTAGGCCTACACTTTGTTTTTTAACTTTAGGCATAGCGGTTTAGACTAGTTAAGAGTAACATTTTAGAAAATAATTTTAGGAAACTTAAAACTATTCAGTAATATATTAGTATTCTTTGAGCAAAAACCTGTTGTAAATTATTGTAATTGTAAATAATTAGATCTAGTAACATGTAGCCCAATCAAGCAATAATAAAACATACAAATCCCAAAATAATAAAGGCTTATTAATTATTTAGTAGCTAAATTGATGCAATTGTTAAAACATGAATAAACATGATTACTATGAAAATATTTCTCTAACTTTCCATGCAGGTCTATAACTTTAACCTTCATTTCCATCTAGATCTAGATACAAACCTTTCTCCCATGTGGGAACCATGTTATGCACTTCTATAATTGTTCTTGATTCATCATAAATATTGTCATTCTGTAGTCCTATGCTAATGACAGTTCCATCATAAATGTGTCATTCTGTAGTTCTATGCTAATGAAAGTTCCATCATAAATGTTGTCATTCTGTAGTTCTATGCTAATGACAGTTCCACTATAATTTTATTTCACTCTCCAGAGCCTGAAGGATCTTCCATAGTGGTGTGTGCTGTCTGGTGTTAAAGTGAAGTGGGGAGTTCAAAGATCAGTTTTACTCTATCTTACATATTGGTCTAAGAATGTATTTAACCATAATCTTCTAAAGCTGACCCTCATACAAAATTATGTCTGCCATATCATTGACCAGTGGCTATTGTTATGTAGTTAGTTGGTTTGGTGCTGATGTAGACAATTTGTCAAATCTTTGTGTTGTGGTTTATTTAACAGGAATTAATTTGGATAGTCTAGATGACCACAACAGTATGGCCAGTGGAGAGGACATCTCAACATATTTTACAGGTAATGTCCATTTGTGATGAAAGATATTAAAAAGGTATCTACCTGCATGCATCAAATGTTTTGTGCTGATGAGGTCCTTATGTTGGAACATTCTGTAGTTTGAAATGTTTACTGGATGAGTATCTTAAGATGGTGATGGTTGAGATGGTTGTGACAGTTGGAGGTTGTAGATAGTTTTCATGTTTTATGTTTGTCAAAGTTTCACAGCTAATGAAATGTTTACAGTAATAAAATTGTTTTGTTTACCTGTACAGGTACACATGAAGTACAAGAATGTCTTGAAGGTCAAGGTGAAGTAGATCTACACACACACCTGGCAAACTGCGAGAAAAATCCTGGCCATACAAACTTTGTACCAGTAAATCAGTTAAGTCTTGAACATTTTCCTTCTGGTTACCATGACAACGATATGTTTGACGTCACAAAAGCCCTGGCTGACGTCACTGTCAGGATAGCCGTTAAGTTTACCAGTCCAGATAGACCAGAGTTTGTACCAGGCACTAAAGATCCATATCCTTGCTACAACACCAGGGGACAGAACTCACTGAGGACAGGGACTGGGACGGTGAGGTGGGTGTACAAGTACACAGAGGGGATGGACCAAAGATACGAGACCTACAGAACTTGTCCATGTCCTGAATGTGACCACTCGGACACACCCAGCAAAGTGTGGTGGAAGGTTCAGGTGGTGACAGCCAAACATGTGGTTTTTGATTCAAGTGAGGCGAGACAGTCCAGCTGTAGGTTGTGGTTTGATGATGATCAAAGTCCAGTGGTCAAGATTTATGGGTGGACGGTGGATTGGTTGTCACACACTGAGAGAGACTTGTGTTTGTTGTGGTGTGCGACACATGACGTAGATGTAGCTGATAAACTGGAGGAGATGGATAGGCGGTTAGAGTGTCTATGTAAGAAAGTATTTAACAAATACAAGAGTCGTATTGATGTGGACAAGCTGACCATTATAGTGTCACATCCTCATGGCTGTTCTAAGCAGGTCTCTGTAGGTCACTTGGTGGACAGGCAGTGGATGGAGGGGTATGAGGCCAGGTACACGTACACAACGTGTACCTGCCCAGGCAGCAGTGGGGCTATGGTCTACAGACTGGAGTGTTGCGGGTCGTCTCAACATCCCCACAGTGGAGCTAACTCTGGTGGATTAAATTATAGTGGGGTGTGTTAGGACTGGTAGTTGTCTGCTCTTGTATAGAATGTAAACAAACATGGCGCCTGTTGGATGTCTGTCTTTTCTAGAATGTAAACAAACATGACGCCTGTTGGATGTCTGTCTTTTCTAGAATGTAAACAAACATGGCGCCTGTTGGAAGTCTGTCTTTTCTAGAATGTAAACAAACATGGCGTCAGTTGAATGTCTGTCTTTTCTAGAATGTAAACAAATATGGCGCCTGTTGAATGTCTGTTTTTTCTAGAATGTAAACAAACATGGCGCCTGTTGGATGTCTGTCTTTTCTAGAATGTAAACAAACATGGCGCCTGTTGGATGTCTGTCTTTTCTAGAATGTAAACAAACATGGCGCCTGTTGAATGTCTGTCTTTTCTAGAATGTAAACAAACATGGCACCTGTTGAATGTCTGTCTTTTCTGGAATGTAAACAAACATGGCGTCTGTTGGATGTCTGTCTTTTCTAGAATGTAAACAAACATGGCGCCTGTTGGATGTCTGTCTTTTCTAGAATGTAAACAAACATGGCGCCTGTTGGATGTCTGTCTTTTCTAGAATGTAAACAAACATGGCGCCTGTTGAATGTCGGTCTTTTCTAGAATGTAAACAAACATGGCACCTGTTGAATGTCTGTCTTTTCTGGAATGTAAACAAACATGGCGTCTGTTGGATGTCTGTCTTTTCTAGAATGTAAACAAACATGGCGCCTGTTGGATGTCTGCTCTTAAAATATATCTTGACATTATTGTAGAGATTTATTAAACTTTTAATTAATTATCTGGTTAATTTTATCAGAGAAAAAGTTTTTGATTGTATGATCGGGAGTAAAGGAATAAAAATGTCACAAATTCTTGTAAATATAAACGTAAATAAACAGTTTTAAATCAACTCGTTTTCTTTATCATTTTTATTTTTGCTTCAATTTCTTATTTTGTGTGTGTGTATGTGAATTTTGAATCTAGCGACTCTCAATATTGACGCTAAAGTTTTGATCTAGCGACTCTCAATATTGTAGCTAAAGTTTGGATCTAGCGGCTCTCAATAGTGACGCTAAAGTTTTGATCTAGCGACTCTCAATATTGTAGCTAAAGTTTGGATCTAGCGGCTCTCAATATTGTCGCTAAAGTTTGGATCTAGCGACTCTCAATATTGTCGCTAAAGTTTGGATCTAGCGGCTCTCAATAGTGAAGCTAAAGTTTTGATCTAGCGACTCTCAATATTGTAGCTAAAGTTTGGATCTAGCGGCTCTCAATAGTGACGCTAAAGTTAGGATCTAGCGACTCTCAATATTGTCGCTAAAGTTTGGATCTAGCGGCTCTCAATAGTGACGCTAAAGTTTGGATCTAGCGACTCTGAATATTGTCGCTAATGTTTGGATCTAGCGACTCTGAATATTGTCGCTAAAGTTTGGATCTAGCGACTCTCAATATTGTCGCTAAAGTTGGGATCTAGCGACTCTGAATATTGTCGCTAAAGTTTGGATCTAGCGACTCTCTATATTGACGCTAAAGTTTGGATCTAGCGACTCTCAATATTGTCGCTAAAGTTAGGATCTAGCGACTCTCAATATTGTCGCTAAAGTTTGGATCTAGCGGCTCTCAATAGTGACGCTAAAGTTTGGATCTAGCGACTCTGAATATTGTCGCTAATGTTTGGATCTAGCGACTCTGAATATTGTCGCTAAAGTTTGGATCTAGCGACTCTCTATATTGTCGCTAAAGTTTGGATCTAGCGGCTCTCAATAGTGACGCTAAAGTTGGGATCTAGCGACTCTTAATATTGACGCTAAAGTTTGGATCTAGCGACTCCGAATATTAAAGGGACGGAGTTGCCTAGCGGTAGTGAGCTGCCCTGTAGAACGTCCCTGAGTCCACCCAGCTCTGATGGGTACCTGACTCATGTTAGAAAAAGTAAAGGCGGCTGGTCATATTACTGACCACACTATCTCTTCATATGCCGTGGTCACAAAAACATGTAAACTCTACTTCACCTTCCCCGTAGACCGTCAGGTTTTAAAGGGAACTTTACTTTTTTACTCTCAATATTGACGCTAAAGTTTGGATCTATAAATTGTAATAGTGAATTGAATATGAGCTCATTTTCTCATCTTTTAATTATTTCAATATCAACCTGAACTTCTAGAAACATCTTTCTGTTATTTTGGTCTATAAAGAAAATTATATCAACGTATGGATATTTTAAAAACCATTGAACATATTAAACAAAAACAATTTTTTATGTCGCGTCATAAAAGCTTGAACCAACGAGTAGGTGGGACAAAAAAAATGCTGTTAGCGGTCAAAGGGAAGCAACAATGAAAATAGAAAATATCTTTAAGAAACATGGATAATGTACCTTTAAATAATTTAAAATAGTGTCCATGTAATTTTGTTTCATGTCACACAAAGTCAAATATCTAATTTTTATGAAATAAAGTCATATATCTAATTATTATCTCCCAAAGTCAGATATCTAACTATTATCACATAAAGTCAGATATCTAATTGTTATCACATAAAGTCAGATATCTAATTGTTATCACATAAAGTTAGATACCTAATTATTATCACATAAAGTCAGATATCTAATTATTATTACATAAAGTTAGATATCTAATTATTATCAAAACAGTTAGATATCTAATTCTTATCACACAAAGTCAGATATCTAATTGTTTTCACACAAAGTCAGATATCTAATTGTTAGCATACAACGGGGGGGGGGGGGGGGGGATGGTGGACCGCACCGGGTGACACCAATTGGGGTCTGACACCAAGACAAAAACTTTGCAAATTATATAGAAGAAAAATTATTAATTAGAATTTTAAAAGTCTTTTACGTTTTAAATTAACAAGTTGGTGGGAGGGGGGGGGGGGTACAATGTTGCTTTGCTCGTTTTGTATTAACATAATGTGTTCACAAATTTACGCGATTTGACAAAATAGGAGTGGGGGGGGGCGGGCTGACACTAAGTGTATTATATATATATATATATATATATATATATATATATATATATATATATATATATATATATATATATATATATATATATATATATATATATATATATATATATATATATATATATTATATAGCCCATAATTTTTCTAATTTCGAGGGGGGGGGGATGACACCAAGAGGTGCCGCACCGAGTGACAACCGACCTAGCAAAACCATTGAATTCACATTGACTAAGACACTCAACACTACACCATATCCATGGGAATTTGTTGCATGTGCTTTACGCTCAGAGTATGTGAAAAATGCTTTATTTTGTTTTTAACTTACTTTATATCAATGTATGTAAATAGATCTCAAAAGAAGTCATTAATCAGTAGAGTTAGTCAGACAAACTTTATTTAAATACTTTAAATTCTTTTCCCGCAAACTACCCGGCTCTATTGATTTTCTACATTTGTAAAGTTTTTCTAATACAGTGTAGTTATGGGTCTTTATAACTGAATTAACCGGTGCCCTTTCAAAACGGCCCGGGACAAATCGGCCTCGTCAAAACGGCCCCGTTAATTTGACCCCGTCAAATCGATCCCCGACAAAACGACCCTGTCAAAATAGCCCCCGTCAAAAGGGCCCCGACTTATTGGCTCCCGTCAAATGGGCTCCCGTCATATTGACTTGCGACATATAGGCTCCCGACAAATGGGCTCCCGATATTTTGGCTCCCGACAAATGGACTCCCGACATATTAACCCCTGACAAATATGCTCAGGGCATATTGGCTCCCGACAAAGCGGCTCCCGACTAATTGGCTCCCGACATAAGGGCTCTAGACAAATGGGCTCCCTACAAATGGACTGACGACATATTGGCTACCGACAAATAGGCTCCCGACATATTGGCTCCCGGCAATTGGGCTTCCAACATATTGGCTTTTGACAAAATGACTCCCGACATATTGGCTCTAGACCAATGAATGGCATGACCACTATTGGCATAAAAGTAACCATTTTGTCCTACCTCCAATACCACTATAAAACTCTTTTAAATCCCCGAATGACATTGTTTTTCATGAACCAACATTAATTCACCAACAAATCGAGCCCTTAACAGCTAAATTCCACCGATTCTAAAGTTTTGATAATGTTTAATTTACAACAGAAAAGATCTGTTGCTTAATAGCGAGCACAGAAGTGTAAATGTATGATATACATGATGTTTACATGATAACAGCATTTTGTTTTGATAACCTACAAGCATACTGCAGGTAGGAAGGTACAGCGGGGACCTTTCTCCCCACACACTGAGTTGGAACAGCCTATAACCAACTCAATTATGGAAGTCATAGATGGATGACCCTTAAATTAAAACATACTATATTTTATAATAGATAAACTAATATAAAAATAAGGCCTGCCGAACAAGAGATGCATACGTTGGATTACATAAGAGTGTTGGATAAGCTAACTAAAGAATATTGATGAAGGGGTCCCACTGGCAGGTGTCATATTCAATGAGACAGCTTTGCCGGGAGACTTATTCTCTAGAGAAACGGTATTGTCAGTGGTCCTTTTGTCTGGAGCCAAATAGACAGCAGCCTTTTTGTCGTTAGCCAAAATGACGCTAGCCTATATGTCGGGAGTCGTAATGACGGGAGCCGTTTTGTGGAGAAACTAAATGGCGGGAGCCTATTTGTGGGGAGTCGTAATGACGGGGGCCGTTTTGTGGAAAAAACTAAATGAAGGGAGCCTATATGTCGGGAGCCAAAATGACGGGAGCCTATTTGTCAGGAGCCTTATTGACTGGAGCCCTTTTGTTGGGAGCCTATATAACGGGAGTCTATTTGTCGGTAGCCTAAATGACGGGAGCCTATTTGTCGGGAGCCTATATGACGAGGTCAATATGTCGCTGGCCCTTTTTGACGGGGTCAATTTGACGGGGCCGATTTGTCGGGGTCGTTTTGACGGGGCCGTTTTGACGGGGCCGTTTTGACGGGGCCGTTTTGTCA